CGGGTTCTTGTTTCACTCTTTTGTCCTCACATGCAGCTCTAATAAAACACTTTAGGACACTGGAGACTCATACTGTCTACATAGGCAGCTTCCTTCTAAGGCAGCATCCTAACAACATGAGCAACTCATTTAAAACACAAGCTTTATATATATATAGTAGGGCTGGGTATTGATTCAGATGTCCCGATTCGATTCGATTTCGATTCGCAAGCTCTCGATTCGATTCGATTCTTGATTTTTTTTATTACATTCAGTGAATATAGTTTTAATACAAATGCTATTGATATTTCTAAAAAATTAACAGTAAACATCAGTTTACAAATAGTGAATTGATAAAAAGAAATTAAGAACCATATGCCTGTATTTTAAACCTATTCTCTATTCTAGGGTCCTTTTTAAACAATAGTAGGGCCCTATAAAATGTTCTTAATTTTTCTGGTAATCAGATGAAGGCATAAAACATTAATTTAATTTATAATCAAATGAAAATTAAACCCTTTTATTTTTTGGCAAACAAAGTGCTGCACAACAGAGGTTTACTGTTAAAATTAAAAATAAAACAGATGTGATTATTCCTTTAAAAATAAAGATTTATTAATATTTATTAGCAGTAGTAGCATTGAGTCTTCAGGCTGGACTTCAGAGAGCATGTCACTTTTCTTCTGAAATGACTGATTGTCGGGTTCTTGTTTCACTCTTTTGTCCTCACATGCAGCTCTAATAAAACACTTTAGTTAGGACACTACTCATACTGTCTACATAGGCAGCTTCCTTCTAAGGCAGCATCCTAACAACATGAGCAACTGATTTAAAACACAAGCTATATACATATAAAAAAAGTATTCATTCAAAAAAAAGAGTATTTATTGTTTTATTTATTTCTCAAAGGATAATACTAAAAGAGCATTAGTGGAGTATGGTGGTCAGTAACTTTTTGCAGTTTGTGATCATGTGATCCTGGTTCCTCATGATCAGTGTTGGGAGTAACGCATTACAAAAGTAATAATATTACAGTAGTATATTACTTTTTGCTGTAACGCAGTGATAAAAAGAAATTAAGAACCATATGCCTGTATTTTAAACCTATTCTCTATTCTAGGGTCCTTTTTAAACAATAGTAGGGCCCTATAAAATGTTCTTAATTTTTCTGGTAATCAGATTTTTCTCTGTTTCAATTAATAAAAATGTTTTTGAGTTTTAGTCTTTATTTATTTCCAGTTAGTTATTTTAGTGCTTCAACTTAGTTGTTAAAATTTAAAGAATTTAAAAATATATTAAATTGCTATAATACAAAAATATAAAATTGTATATTAAATTATATAATTAAAGCCATTTAAATATACTCTCTCTATATATAAAGTACAGTATATAAAATGTAATTTATTTATCCTAATTATTCTAAATAAATATATAATTAAATAAAAATATACAAACTTTATACACATGCACACAAAATACATAAAAATATATGGAGTTTTTATTCATTTGTTGGATTTATGTATGTGTTTGTGCACATATATGTACAGTATATATAGAGTAAAATATAGTTAACTATTTATTCGTCAATTTGGTACTACATTAATTATGTAATTATATATATATTAATTGTATAAAGTGTATATACATAAAAATATATAAAGTATGTAAACTACATATTATAAAACTTTTATCATTCCTGTGTTGCCGCAGTCAGAGGATGATGGGAAAATTAGTTTATAAATGACATGTAGTTTCTATCAAGCTCGATTGCAAGTTCACAAGATGCGTTTATAAATAAACGGCACAGTCAACATGCACAATTCAGACTGAATTATGATCAATATTTGCTGATAGCTGATATTCATGCGCACATTTCTGATGAGAGGGCAGAATATGATGTCTCTCTCTCTCTCTCTTATTTCTATTTTAAATGCTGAGGTTGATGCTGGATGTCCTTTTTGCACTGAGAGAGAAACTATCTTTCATGCATTTGTGAATTGTGCTAGATAGCAACCTTTATTTTTGTTTGTAGGAAACATTTTTAGGAGTTGTAATGCAACTTTTTATACGGTGTCATTTGTTTTTGGTTTTAAATATGTTATGAAAAAAAAAACAATGTTTGTGCCAGTTGCTGAATTTTGTTTTAGGTCAAGCAAATGTATCTATGTAAGTAGGAAGAAAAAAGTAGAACAGAATGGAGTTGCATTGTTTTTGAACATGCATGCAAGCAAGAATACGGGTTGATTTGAATGACTACAAACATATGGATGTTCTTGTTTCCTTTGAAGGGATTTGGTGTTATAATGAGGCTTTGTGCTCTGTCTTTGAAGGTGAGTTGGTGTTTACACATTGAGTTGTAGTAGTGAGTCGGATATTGTAATTTAATTGTGTTGTGAATTATATTTGTAATAAAGGATGGTTAAAATAAAATAAAAAATCCTCTCTCCCTTTCAACTGAACCATTGCATGAACAAAGAACAACTAATGATTATATAATGCATTAACAAAACAAGAATAGACCTATAAATCAGTAAGTGAATAATTATGTATCATGGATACATTTTTTTATAAACAAGAAATAAGAAAATAGTTAAGTTATTGTCTTAAAAAAAAAAAAACGAAGAAGAAAAGAAAACTTAGTACTCTCTCTCTCTCTCTCTCTCTCTCTCTCTATTCAATTCAATTCAATTCAATTC